CTCAGGCTGCACAAATTCACTGTGTTGCCAAACCATAGACCGCATTTATGAACGTACAATGTGCCAAAAAAATTTATCCGTCCATATATTCGCCGTGTCGTTCAAAGTGTGAGAAAAAAGTAGAGGCTTATAGTGGGGAAATGACAGTATTCAAATATATGTGAACGAAATAAAACACAACTCCAGGTCTGTTTTTGAGGAGGCAACAATATTGTAACACGTCTTAAAGCTCACAAGAGTCAATTTTGTGTAATATAGGACCTTTAACCGTGAGCAACATCTCATTTTACCAGCGTGGCTATTTTTGATTGAGTTTAGCCTGGCCGGTCTGTGTTTTAACTAAGATGCACGAGAGTTTACAGTGCACATGTGCCCAGTGCTTTAGTGATGGATCATTTCATTAGACTTCCCCAGCCTGGATGATATAAACACAGACTGCAGACGGAGCAGCCCCTCCCTCTGACAAAGTGCCTCTATCAGCCCCATAGACACACAAAATCTCAGGTTTACTCTGACGGATGTGGCCACAACACGATTTGTCCAAACGCCGGCCTTAAAAACAGATCCACGGGCAGTTAAAAGAGAGATCTGAGTAAAATATGAGCCCCATAGATCCTCAATGGGAGACATATGTAACTTTGAGTGAGTAGCATCCGCAGATAAACCCTGTGTATCAACGAGGATGACGTGACTCACTTCATATCTACTGAACATAACATTAGTTTAAAGCTACACTATGTAACTTTTCAGGTGGAGGGTCTGTCACCTGCTTGTCTCCAATGAAATACTATTGCTTGAGCTAGAATGTTCCACAGGATAGCATTAAATGTATATCTCTGAGGGCAAGAAGGTAAACCTATATTTGTCAATCTCAATGGAGGCAAGCAGGTGATGTCAGTGTCTACGCAGTGTTACAGGTCAGGTCTGTGGAGCGGTGTCCTGATTCGTCAGCCAGTTTCACCTCGTGGAAACCGTCTGACCTCGCAGCATTAGAATTTGTTCGCTCGACGGTAGGCGGGTACTTTTTTATTTAACCAATCGCTGCTATTTGGTCGTGATGTATGTAACCCAACGCTAACGGGGCTAACTGGTATATTAAGCTTTTCCAAATTCCCATAGGAAGAAGGGTAATAATGTCTTTCCCCTTGATAAAATTCACCAAACATTCTCTTTGTTTCGGCCTTAAATCCTCGATCTCGAGAATCGTTGCCAACACAGAATGTATGACTCTTCACTGATTGGCTGGTGCCTGGACTCCCACTTCCAGGGTTCTTACAAACCATCTAGTGTATTCTGATTCCTGACCTAGTCACTGGACAGAAATGAAATTGAGCAGAGGCACTAGACGGTACCAGCCTGGCTAGTGGAAAATCCCATTTACAATAAAAATGCATTTTTTGTGAATAAAAAAACACATGTAAGTGAATAAACTTAGAGATACAGTATGTTTAATGCCACACTGTGTGATATTCTATGTAGACAAACAGTTGGCGGATCCTTTAACTTAAACTATTATTATTGAACTATTAGAGTCAGAGTCAGAGAGACTAAACTTGTATATTCAACCTCCTCATAACAAAGATGCATAAAACAACAAATAGCCTTGTTAAAATCTCATTGTCCAAGCCTGATCTCGCTGTTAATACTTTTATGGAGGACTGATGGAAATTCCAGGCGCCCCAGTGGGTCGTTGTGTCCTTAGGCAAAGCACTTCACTCATATTACTGAGTATGAAAGTGGTGTTCACATGTGTTGGTTGGAGGGGCAGATGGTGCAGATTGGCAACCTCACTTCTGTTACTCTACCTCAGGGCGTCTGTGGCGACAGGAGCCTGTGATCAGTACGAACGTCCATGGTCGTGTTTAGGCTTTTCAGTCACTGAGAAAAAGAGCAGAGGACCAAAGACCAATATCAGATACTATTCCAAATGTGGGACCCCAAACCCTCCTTCACTTTTAGGCTCGCCCTATCTGCCTCTTCGAAACACTGTGGAAAACATATTATTACTCCATAGAACATGGGTGGGCAATTCTTTTTTCCTTTGGGCCACATGAGAAACAGAAAATATTGTGGAGGGGCGGGTTAAAAAGCTTAACTCAATTCTGCATAAAATTAATATTATTTTTTTATAAAGAGCAGTAAATAGTATTGTTTTGACAAGGTAGTAAGACTGGCAAGACTAAATGTTATGACTCAGCAACGAAAAAGTGAGGTTGCCTTACAAAAAATGTCGTAAAAAAACACCTCTAAAATAAAAGCAGGGCCGCTTTAGTCCATGCATGAGGAAAAATGATAAAATATGTTTATTTTGTAATTCCAAATGAGCTTAAACGGGCTGGTCACAGAGGTTCAGCCCAATGTTCCCAGAGCTCTGTGTTCCCTCATTTCTAAGATTTTCTCAAAATTAAGCTCTAATTCAAGTCATTTTTATTTTTATACCACATTTAAAGAGTTGATTCAACTGCTGCTCGTTAATAAGTTGGGTGTAATTGACCTCTCCAAACTGGGAGAAATGGAGATAAAATTTGATGCAAATTGATGATAACGGAAATGTGGGAATGTAGGGCCTAATTTTGTGAAGAAAAAAAAAACTTGCAATGAGGGAACATAGGGCTGTGGGAACATAAGCACACTTCCAGTCAGAGTCAACCAAAGGACCGTATGTGGCCCGGGAGCTGGACAAAGCTCAGGTCTGCCATAGACTTTATATAAGATTTTATATACTGCAACATCTCTCCAAGCAAATCAATAAAATATGGATCCATAGTAACTGTTTAGGTGTTTGATTTTCAACAAAAAAGTGAGTGACGATGCTACCAAACTTCAGACTGTCATTTTATTTAAAATGACTTGTTTAAAGGCACAAATCTGCTCATCTTTTCCAGCTAAATCAGTTTTTGCTGGTCAAATTTTGTTCAAATAAAGCTCAGATTTAAGTCTTAACAAAGCCTCAGTCAGAGTTGTGCCTACAGATAGCGTCAAAGTATCAATATAAGACTTTTTGTTGTTATTAAAATATTTCAAGAGTTGGGTTCTAGTTATTTTGATCAAGCGTGCACATAAAAAGTTGTCCTAAATAAATGTATTTTTCTACATTATGCATCAAACTCTGCTCTATACGTCTCAAAGTGTCCACCATTTTATTCAAATCTTTTTTTGCTTTCATATCTTCCAATTTTATCCACAGCAGAGGCTACGACATTAAACAATTTTACACTATTTTCCAATCTTGTGGTGCAGGTAAGAGTTAGTGTGTACCTTGTTCTCTCACGCCTCCTCTTCATTTGAAAACACACTTTGTATCTCATGCATAAATTCATGTGCTCCTGCTCAGACACTGTGAATCACATTTTCTATGACAATACTGTTGTTTCTATCTCAAACGTGTTCTTGGTAAATTGCAGAGTTTTAGCCGAAATAAAAAACTTAGAAGAATATATTGGGTGTAATTTGGCGCCGGGTGATTGGTGTAAAAGAATTTTCGCTAACAGCCAATTTCAAATCATGAATCTTTAAACTGGTGAAAGCTACAGTTGGCGTTATTGCACTATTACTCCAGCAAATGTGGGGGCTAAGCTAAGAGCGCTGCACAGATGGAAGAGAGCGGTGCAGAAGTGCCGCGTGAGGTTTCGATAGCAGGTCTATGGAGAAGAGAGAGAAAGAGAGAGAAAGAGGGAGAAAGAGGGATTAGCTGCTGAGATCCACGGGTGTGAGAAAACCACTGCGACTATTGGATCAATGGCCAGGTCTATAACAAGTACAAGATGAGAGAGAGGAGAGCGGGTGAGAATATGGGGAAGTAAACAACCTGAATCAATCACTTGGTAGTTGAGATGTGGGAAGAGAGAGAGAGAGAGGGATAGAAAGAGAGACGGAGAGAAAGAGCAGGAGAGCGAGAGAGAGATTGTGTGTTTTATAGGGTGCATTCACACTCGCTGACTTGCTTCAGGGCTATAGCCACTAATGGCCTTCAGAACCCCGAGCTACAACTAAAAAAAGGACCTGGTACCAGTTCAGTCTTGGTTCTACTCAGACTGTGTATATAAATGGACATACAGTAGCGTTCCAGGAAGTGAGCCTGGGCACGCTTCAGGCTTCATCGACAATTCACTTTATATTATTAAAATACTGGCCTCGTTTACATGATGTTTTTAAGTTCGGAATTAAATAGTTTGGAATTAAAATATTCTCCTTCAAGCTTACATGGAAATGGGTGAGTCCATATGAAATCAGCCACCCTCCCCTATGACCCATTTCAGATTTGGCTGAAAATTTTTCCAAAAATGGCTAAAATTACCAAATGAAAGAATCTCAAATTCTAGCTCAATCCCTTAAGTCGTTCCTGAGTTATGGTCCGCTGAAATTTTGGGGCCATGCTCACTTTTTCGTAAGCCTTAAGTTATAAGCATGTTTGAGAGATCTCAGCTTCCTAGCTCTAGTTTTTATGAAGTTATGGTCTCTCAAACATGTTTATGAAGCAAGTCACTGAGCTTCAAGTCCCAAGTCTTAGTTCATTTTATTAGTCAAGTGTCAGTTTATCAAGTCATTTCTCAAGTCCTAAAAATAATGACTCAAGTCTGACTTGAGTCCAAGTCACAATTTGCAAGTCCTCACCTCTGCTGATACCTAAATATTCTACTTAAGTACAGTACTTTTTTACTACTTGTACTTCATTAGCAGTGTTGGGAAGGTTACTTTTAAAATGTATTCCTGTGGCGGGGCTCTATTAAAAACTTAGGCAAGATCGAGATTCTGAGTGCAGGTGGTTTATTGTGCCAGTGTCCAAAGTGCAAAAATCCCAAAAAACAGTGCAGAATATTTACAGTGAGCAAAACAGTCCAAAAAGTATTTACAGCGAAGAAACAGGGTCGAGTTCAGCGTTAACTGCCCCTTTTAAGATTCTGTACAGCACACCGACGTTACCTGCTCTGTACCCGGTGGCAAACTGATTAACAGCCAGGAACGGCTCCCCTTTATACTCCCCTGACTCCTCCCACTGAGCAATATATCAAAATCATTCTAAAGACAAACAATTTAACCATAAACCTACCTTGTCTATGCTACGTTGAGCACACAGTAATAATGTACATTAAATGTCAAAAATAATAGCTGAAAAACGTAAAGAAAATCGTATTACATAATGCGCGTCACATGGTCAGCACCACGGCGCGAACAGCGCCTATTTCAACTACCAGGAAATAAAGGCTCGATTTGGCAGAGGCGCACCACGTCGAAGGAGAGAGAGAGACGGCGTCATCGGACAGGTACGAGACAAGTATGAAATAAATTACTCTAACGCGCTCAAGTGTGCACCCTTGGCGAATTAGTAACGGAGGAAAGAGGGGAGAAGGCGATAACAGTGAATACGGCGCGAATGAATGAAACAGCGGGGAAACGGGGAATGAACTCGTGTGTGCGGGATGAATCAGCGTGTGTGCGCGCGGGCACGCCAGTGCAGACCGCGGTTACGTGTAGGGGGGGAAACGCCACCTAAAATCATAGACAGACTGGCTCCGTCACAATTCCCCTACAGATTACAGATTACATACCCCAAAATGTAGTTTGTAACAGAATCCATTTAGTTACTTCAAGTGACTAACTAAAATCTGAATACTTTGGATTACTTGATTTGCTGTAGAGAAGCAAAGACCAGGACATAAGATGTTTTGTCTGCTGAAAGAAAATAAAAAGCCCAGACTTTACTGAACAGTATTAAAATTATTATTGATAGAAGAGGAGACACGCAGCATGGTTAAGTCCTGTTAAATTCTGGTTTAGACCTGGTTTAATCCTGGTTTAGTCTGGGTTTGGTCCCCGTTTAGTCCTGGTTTAGACCTGGTTTAGACCTGGTTTGGACCTGATTTAGACCTGGTTTTAGACCTGGTTTAGACCTGGTTTTAGACCTGGTTTTAGACCTGGCTTTAGTCCTGGTTTAAACCTGGTTTTAGTCCTGGTTTAAACCTGGTTTAGACCTGGTTTAGTCTTGGTTTAGACCTGGTTTAGTCTTGGTTTGGAACTGGTTTTAGTCCTGGTTTTGTCCTGGTTTAGTGTCAGGAAATGAGTGGAATTACCGGAAAAATAAAAATAAAAAATTGCCCAACCAGCGTGTAATCCATTTATTTCAACAAAGTAACTGTAATCCAATTAACACTCATTAAAACAGTAACTGTAACTGAATACAGTTACTCATAATTGTACTTCATTAGGTTCCTCCGCTGACTAGACGGGACTTTGTAACTCTGCTGATTGGCTTGTCTGTGGGTGCGTACACAGTTCCCCAGACGGCTCTTCTATATAACTGACTTGTCTGGATTTGTTATAATGATAATAAAAAAATAAAATGTGTTCCTTTTAGGTCATCTTTATCATCGGTGACGCAATCTGGGGCTAAATGAACACAGCTCGCACACAAAACAGAGCAGACTCCTCATTATTTGCTCTAATCAACTGGAACAAATATTTCAGGGAAAACTCAACAGGAGAAATCACACGTTTCATGTTTCATTTGCGAAATTATAAAGATTTATTGGAGCCACAGTCTTATCGCAGTGGGGGTTTAATTGTGCGTTAGAGTGATAGACAGTTGGCTGGGGCTGTTAAATGGACTACCTCATGGACTAAAGGTATTATAAAACAGAAAATTATTGTGGTGCAACTAGTCATTACCGGGGCACAAAGACAAGAACTGACCATTTGCAATTGAAAAACTTCTTCAGAACTAGTTGAATATCAAAAAGGTTAATGGATTTACATAAAAGTGGCACAAAAGTAGAGGTGGGAACAAAAGGCAAAGCTGTGGACAAAAACAGAGCTACTTCATAATATTCAAGTCGAAGTGGTTGATCAAATTTACATCTGATTTAGAGTTTGAAGTTAATGAAAGGACAAAATACGAAATAAAGCACAAAAGATGGTATTTTCAATTTAGACCGAAATAATTAGGAAAGCGTAATCATATCTGAAGGAGCTGTGGAAGAAACACAAATCATTTCATATTGTCAACATCAAACTTTTGTAACTTATAGATTTAATCAAAGCGGGAGGATTTACAAAAAAGTTTATTCAAGAAAAGCAGAAGATAATTTGCCCACTTCAGGAATCAAATCTGATATTGGGAGATGTTTTTTTTTTTTGATGTTAGATAAATTCAATCCAATTCACTTTATTTATGTAGCACATTTTATAAACATGACAGTTTCCAAAGTGCTGCTCAGACAAATCAATACAGTGGTCCCTCGTTTATCGCAGGGGTTCCGTTCTAAAAAATAACCTGCGATAGGTGAAATCCGCGAAGTAGTCAACTTTATATTTTACAATTACAGGACAGTTAACCCTTTTTGTATCCTTCTTAAAATTGATTGTTGCTGTCGTCCTTTTGTCATTTTCCTCCTTTATGTAATGAACCAAAGATGAATTTATTCCGTAATGGAGCCCTACAGCGCAGAGTCCTGCATGGGTCCGTTTTTTGGAGACCCGCACCCGCGCAGTACAGGACCGCACCTGCCCGCACCTGCTTGCACCCACCCGTTAACCCAAAATTATATCAAACGCTGCATACACCACGGACTGAACCAAGACTAAACCAGGACTAACCTAGGACTGATTCCAGGACTGAAATAGGACTAAAATAGGAATAAAACAGCAGTAATCTGAATCCAGGACTAAACCAGAACTGAACCAGGGCTCACTCTCGGGATGGGCCCGGAGGCGACCGAAGGCCACAGCCGTCGCCATATTGCGCTTTATGGACACTCTGCTCCGTGGATTCATGGTTCTCCCTCTTAAGTCCAAGATTAGTCCTATTTAGACCTGGTTTAGTCCTGATTTAGTCCTGACCCACTTGTGTGTAATCACGACCCGCCCACATACCCGCCCGTAAAATTCCAGAACGTTAAAACTCGCCTCTTTCAGCAACTATTTGTCTGTACCCGTCAGGTATCCGACCCGGTTCAAGACTCGTAACTACTCGTAGTTTGTAGCTAGACTCGTAGTAACTTCTTCCTTCCTTCAGCGTGTCCAGAAGTCCAACATTTTGTGCGATGGTTTGCGTCTTCCTCTGCCTTTTGGGTGCGACCGCAGGAGCCTTTGTCGGTGCAAAACGTTTCGTCGACATTGTGGGTTTTGTCGGGGAGAAAACTTACAAACATACTACACTTCAGAATCACACTGATAGAGATCGAACATTTATGTAAATTTGTCAGCTGAACTCATCTGTACTGTACAGGAAACATGGCACAGAGAAGATTGACTGACAATGGCCTACAATCCCTTATCCAATCAGAACACAGGGGGAGGAACACAATACGCATTCATATACTGTAAAAAGCATGCAAAATTTCACACACAAAAATCCATGAAGTGGATTTTTGTGAAGGTGAAGGTGAAGTGAAGGTGAACATAGTGAAGGTGAACCGTGATATAGCGAGGGACGACTGTACAATAAAAGTAAATCATAAATAAAAACAATAAATAAAAAGTGTTAAAAATGCATAAAGCTAAGAATAATAAAGCAATGAATAAAATATAATAAATAAAAACACAGAGGACCACACAACTCACGCGGTGTTAAAAGTCAGAGAATTAAAGTGGGTCTTGAGACGAGACTTAAAACACTTCACTGTGGGGGATGCAAATAAGAAAATTAAGAAATGACAGCAGATCCTGGTGAATAGATGCTTGATTAAAAGTTTCCTGATCAGGATGCTCCACTTTACATAAGCCTCACATAAGCCAGTCACAAGAGACGACACATATATGCACCTTTATGCTAATGAGAGTAAAAATGGGAATGCCTATATGAATATAGAAGTTCAGCAGATGTATTTTAGGAATGTAACAGAGGAGAGAGACATCGGGGTCCTTGAAAGAGTCTGGAGTAATTGGAGAGTGCACAGCTCAGGTACGTCTCTTTAAGTTAAAGGGCCACTAAACCCTAAAATCACTTTTTTTTCTACTGATAATCTATGTAAATGGGTCTAAAATAGAAATGTACACTGATCCCAGGCCTTATTTTGTCCTTTTAGTGCATATTTGTGAAAAATCTGACAGCCAGGACATTTGAATTTTTGTGTTGGATTAACAGCCGCCAGTGAGTCAGATGCAGGTTATTACGTGACGGGCACATACACTGGCATCTATGGGCAGGACATGAGGAGACCCTCTCAGCCCCGCCTCGTCCTGGCACCGCTGGTCACCACGATCTCCCCCCATGTCTGGAGAAAAGGGAAACAGTGTGATCCGAGCACAAATGTCCGCTCTGTTTCATAGTCTGGAACACACTGGTCCACTCCGTGTTGGATTGTTGTGGGTGTCAGGTCGCTGTCAATCACCGCTCCAAAGCCCGTCCACATCCGCTCCCCACAACTCGCCGGCACCGCCCACTCTGGAGGATTTTTCAGATTTTGCTTCAGGGTGGAGGGCGTTTAATGGCTCTTTAAAGTTTAAACATTTAAAACTGGTTAACCCTACAAAATAGTAGTATGTGCTGTGCTGGGCTTAAGATTACTGTTACTTCTACATAAATTTAAAGTGTAATAAAAATAAAGTGTCTTTTTTTTTTTTATTTAACTTTATTTATTAACATTTTCAGTTTATAACAAAAAATCTACAACAAAAACTGAAAAGGACAAGCTTATGTTGGTGCCAAATAATCATTAAAATAGACTGTAAGCATCAAATACAATAAAAAAAAATAAATATAAATTAAATAAACAAAAATAAATAAATAAAAAACATAAATAAAGTAGTTAAAAATAATAATAAGAATAATAGGATAAAATATAAAATTTAAGATAAAATAGATACAAAATAAAAAATAGGGTTTAAAACACACACAAACACACAATGGGGTCTACATATACAAAAAAGTATAAATGTCCACAATTACATCATATAACAACACTGTTCTTTTTCAGGGGTCCACTGCAAATTCAAATGCTCCAGAATGGGTTTCCATACCTTCTTCAGATTGCCCGGCATAACTCAATCTTTCCATATGCGACACTCCCATCAATTCCCTGAGCCAGGCTTCAATTTGAGGTGGAGAATCCGATTTCCACAGTTTCAAAATGCATCTTTTAGCGATCACCAGGCCGTAAGTCACTGCAATGGTGTCCCATATTTTACAAAATGGTAGAGAAACCAAAAAGGCCGTTTCAGGATCAGGGTCTGTAGTTACCTGAAATGCACGGGAATATCATTTAAATATTGAACAACAGAAACCTTGGAGTCTCGGGCATAACCAGAATTGGTGTGCAAACGTACTATTAATCGTCTTGCATCTATGACAGAGAGGGCTGATGTTTGAGGAAAAAAAATATATAACTTAAAATACAGTGTCTGAGAACTAAACTCTATACTAAAACTAAAATTTTATTCAAACGTTACTTGACTGACTTGACTTAAGTGTGAGCTACACACCCCTGCACAGATGTTTTTTTCTGGAAACAACACTGCCAGATTCAGTTAAGTGAGCTAAAATATTTAAATGGTTTTCAGAACAGTGGAACTGGATTAAAGAAGCATTCATCCATTGAGTTTTACCTGTTTTCTGGGGCAGCTGTCTGCTATCATGCACAACTGATTTTGTTTTTGAGCTTTCCGCATCTTCTATGATTCAAAACTACACAACAGCTTGACCGACCTGAGGCGACCTGCAGTAGTTTCATTAGCGGGATGCACCGTGATTGTGTTGTGATAGTGTAAATGTAAATGTCTCATTCATTTTTATACATTTTATACAGGAATGGTGTGAGTATAGGACAACATTTTTGATCAAGTTCACCCGTTAAACCGTCAGGGCCAGGAGCTTCACTGATTTGAAGGGAACTAATGGCTTTTTGTATTTCAGTAGGATGAATAAATTAAGACTATCTAGATCAAGGGTGTCAAACTCAAATTCACAGAGGCCAAAATTTAAAACTGGGACTAAGTTGTGGACCAAACTAAATATTTATTGAAAATTTTCAACAACATTAAACCTTTTCTTATTAAAATACATGTTTAACAATAGTTTTGTTTAAATATTGAATCTAGAACAAGCGTAATAAAAAATAATAATAACATTTTAAATAAATAATGTCTCTATAGCCTGTATATCTGTAGCCAGCTCTAATAAATATTTGATACAATCTTGCGGGCCAAATATAATAATATCGCGGGCAAGATTTAGCCCCCGGGCCTGAGTTTGACATGTCTGATCTAGATGTTGTTAGATGTTGTTAGTTTTGGGAGCTGGCACTCATCTAAAAATGCATTTATAACCAGAGGATTAATGTTGCACTTCGAGATCTGTTAGTCTGAATAAAATTGTAGAAATATTTATTAGTGTTACTTGGTTTATTCAATATATTGTCCCTGTCAGTTTTAATTTTATGGATTGCCTGGTCTGCTTCTGCTTTTTTAAGTTGATCTGCTCATAATTTGTACAGTTTATCTCCAAATTCAGAATGCTTTTGTTTGGCAAAGAGGAAGGCCAACGTGATCTTCTTTCATTAGTTGATATTTCACATTGTTAATTCTCCCGTGTACATCTGTGGTTAAGGTGTAGTGGTGCATTTTTCCGATCAAACTGCTGAATCTGATCTTTTAGCTTCTTACTTTGAGCATTATCTTCTTCTTTGCCGTTTCATATGAAATAACACACCCTCTTAAGTACGCCTTA